AGCATCGCTATAAAAAAACATCTTCTTTGACTCAGGGAAGTTCAAAACCAAAAAACCCAAACGACCTAAAGCAGGCATACCTGTAATATATTTTCAGTAATGAAGACAAATAAGAAAGGCAGGAGATCGCTGACCAGGCGAAATTCCTACATGCTCTGCTCTGCTGATTCACACTCAAATCCTGAATTACCCATTTCTAAAGACAGCAGGTGTGGAAAAAGCGTTTCTGTGTTTACACCTACCAGGTGCATAAGAAGGAGCCTCACCTACTCCTTCCAGGCAGGTAAACACAGGAGTTTTCACATTAACCGTGCTGTTCTAAAACTTGCATTGACAGCATTTCCCTGCTTTGCTCAAGCAGTGTGCTTCAGCTCCATGCTGAAAGGCTTGTCCAAAGCATTAGAAGATAGTTCAAGATCCAAGCCCATCCAATCATTGATGAAGCTATTAAAAGGTATTTTGGGAGGAGACTGGACAGAAGGGAAATGGTGTAAAGTAAGCACCCGCAATCAGACACTTTAAGTCACAGAATGGCTCTTGATCTGGTGTAACTCTAGATGAACTTTATTTGAACAGAAGGCTCTGTCCCATCAGTAGCTGTCTGGAACACCTATTTCTGCAGCCATGTAGACGTTGGACAGCATCACCCAAGGAAGCAAAAGTAAGTTGAAATAATTTTACAGTCTGTTAAGCAGTTGTGCATCCTTATGTTCAATTATCACCTTGTAAAACTTGCAAAATGCATAACCCGCCCATTCCAACTAATTTGAAAACAAATGTAAACTTAAAAGGAATTCAAGTATATCCAAGTCTGCAGAACAGAGTCTCTTTCTATGCCTCTCCCTCTCCTCCCATCTTAGGAAGGTAATACTTGCAAAAATAGTTATTTCTGCTGTACTATACACAGAAAACAACTCTATTTCATGTAGTATTTCAACTACTACGTCACAACTCCAGATTTACTACAAGCTGACAGACAACACCTGCCAGGTACTAACAGATTTACACACCTATAAAGGCTTTCAAGCATCTAACAAATACACAAGAACTTCCTGTACATTAGAAGATTACCTGCAAAGGCTGATTCTCGGGAGTTGGATTGGTTTTGGATAGTTTAACCATCTCTTTTATCTGGTAGATAGCATAAGCTAAGGTGACCCACGGAGAAGAGCTGATGCCCCAGGCAGGTTTGTTAACATCCTCCTGCTCTTCTTGGTGTTTAGTTTTCTTTAGAGGGAGTCTGGGCTCAGTCCGAGGCATGATGTCTTCCGATTGCTGTTGTACGATGTCAATAGTAGCTATAGGAACAGGACTGGAAGGCACTGGGATCCTTTCCGCCAGCATTGTCTTTTCTGAAGTTTAAAAAAATAATCACTGGCAAAGCCAACGAGCTTAAAAAAACCCGCGAAGCAGACAATGAACACAAAGTGTTTCTTGCTTTCGTAACACGGTTATTACTGCACTGAAAGCAGAACACTGGCACAAGCAGACAGGAGCGAGACATGCCACAATCTAGTTAGGGAAACACAACGCGGATGTTGCCTTAGAGCAAGGCTGTTCTGCAAACGCAGCGAAGTACTTTAGATCTCTGCATAAACAGGAGGGGCTAAGGAGTATGTGGTCTATTTGTTCACAGGTAGCTATTAGAAATTCGTTTTCATGTTATGTGCAAGAAGCCATTTTCATCTCATATGCAAACTGAAAATAAGTCTTTTAAACTTGCAGTAAACTTCTTTCTCTGCATAAAGCCTGCATCTTACAACTCACTCGTACTCACAACTACACAATGGCTTCAAACAGGAACCCTTTGATGAAATCGCATGGCTTACATCATCAGAACAGCTGCTTCTGATCTTAAAATCTCTAAGCCTACAGATGTTGTTCTACATCTTCACCACTTTTATTTAAGAAACAAACCAGCCTTCCATAGTTACTATGGAGTTATGCAGTTAGTGAGAAAAGAACAATGTTAGTGGCACACTGGAGGAGACAAAATATCTGCCGCAGAGTTTCAGGTAAAGTAAGAAATCCTCCCAACAGACCTTTACCTCTAAGGTCTTCTGATAATCTGAAATAGTCTTCATGACTGTCTTGGAATTTCATCCATAAAAGGACTGTCATGACCCAACACAACATGCCTCACAATCTTGAAGAGCCAGAGTATTTATATACGAAACGTAATTAAACAGCTTGTTAGAAACTGTTGGATGTTTTAAGTAATGTTCTCTATATGTCTGTAAACAACACATTAAATAAATTTTGAGAAAATATGGGGTTTTAGTAGAAATATTTTACCGATTAAAAAGGTCTTTTTTTCAAAATTATAAAATCATATTTTGTTTACAGACTCTTAGATAGTACTGGATATTTTAAGCAATGGCTGGATGTTATCTAGTAGCGAAGAAATGAAGAGACTAATCCTGCACACACTTAACCACACACTTAGCTTTACTCATCCAACTGGTCTGGTTGAAAGCAACCTCATTACTGCCCCGCTTAAAATTAAGATACTCACTGTTAAGATCGGTAGTTTGTACTAAATGAAAACCAAAGACTGAAACAAACTAAATAGAAGGCCACTAGAACAAACTATTCTTTTGTAGGTTCACATGTAATTAACCGCAAGTTGATGGGAAACTGAAGCAGCAAATCTCCTTTTCACCTTCTCATTCTTTGCCATTACCATTTGAACCAAGGTGAATACAAAATAAATATTTGAACACTTCAGTACAGGCAACTTGATAACTAGTCAAGGGCAATTCATTTAATGTTCCAGCTAAAGAAAATTAACTTTCATTTCATACTCAAAGCTCATATTGGAAAGTAACATCTGGGTGAAAAGCAGCTCAAAAATTCCTGACTTTCCAGAATTTGCCAGGGTTTTATTGTCATTGTAAGAATTAGGTTTATGCTAAATCCTCAACTTTGTCCCAAGTTTTTAATTTCTGATTAGCCTTTATATTAATAAAGGTGGAGATGAAAAAGTTCAAGTTCCACCCAAGGGAAGATTTCTCAGGTGCCAGAACAGAACTGAGGCAGCTATTAAGGTTTGTGTCCTCTGAAGCCACCTCTACAGTTTCTGACAGATGAGAGCATGCAGCGGTCAAGGTGACCTTAAAGAACTGATGCAACTGAAATGACTCACTACAGCTGCTAAGACTAACCTAAGGGATTCCCAGAACTGACAGGACATACAGGTAGTAAAATATGGATGCCGACAGGAGGAAAGCATAACAAGAACACAATGCTGCCCTTCTTACAGCAGCAGCATGCCACTTCAGTTTCTATCACTGCTCAGGAAAAAACTTCTCGCTTGAAAACAAACTGTTTTGTCAAAATCTGAGTAAAGACACCAAACATACAAAACTAAAGCCACAGGGAGCAGCTTCAGAGATACTTTTTTTCGAGAAGCTCTAATTTTGTAGTGTCTCAGTGACATGAATATTTACCTTCTTCTTCATCAGGAACCAACAGCCACTGGATCAGTGCAAACAGAAGAAGAATCACTAAACAAGCCATCCCTATTCCTCTGAATGTGGTAGCAGGACCTGTAATGAGATTTTTTTTTTTTCTAAATTGAGAAATCTGCTTACTTAATAAAATGAGTCAGCATTATGCACTCCTTGGCTATGTATTGTCCCATGTAGACTCTTATTAGCTTGCTTCATTACATTTTCCTCCCCAACACTTCTTCAACAGGCTTTGCAAAGGATTTTTAACCAAGTAATTAGATTCTCATTTGTTCATCGAGAGACTGCATAGTATCAACCTATTCTCTCACAAAGGATTCATTCATCTCCCTGATCAGGTTGGAGACTGGCTCACACAATACTAAAAATATCCAGGCATAACGTACTTAATCAATCTGCTATACTGACAGGACAAAGCCATAAGCAGCCTGGTCTGAATTCAGTACTGACCTTGCTTCAATGAGAGGCCTGGAACGGAGATCTCCCGAGGTCCCTCCCCGCCTGAGCAGTTCTATAATTCCATGATTTATACAATGTGCATTACTCTTTAAAACATGACAACGCCTTAAGCATACATACATTTAAAGCTGGTAGTTCATTAAAACCAGAACTTCAATAAATAAAATTTGTCAATACAATTTTTGCTTACCGAAGTAATTGACCAAAACCCCTCCAACCATGGCCCCGCATCCTCTGCCCAGACCCAAGTGGAGACCTTGCAGGATTCCCTGGGCTGACGTTCTCAGCTCCGGAGGCACTGCCGCGCTAAGGTACGAAATACAAGCTGCCCATATAGCTGCATGCGTGACACCTAGAGAGATGAAACATCATGAAGAGTACACGGTTCGGAGCATACAAACACGACCTCACAGCAACTGCGCTCATCAGTTGGAGAAAAACAACAAAATCATTTCACCAACAAACGTCTGTGAAGTACAAATCAGCTTTTGGTAACGTGATACTGGCAACCAAGCCACAGGGAGACATGATGACTCCTTCTGCAGAGGCTGTCAATAGCTCTTTCTACCTCTAAGATGATCTCACTTCTCTTCTAGTTACACAGTCCCTACGAAGACTAAATAAAGTCTGTCTGCCAGATCCCTCATCCCTTCAAGAGCGATCTGGGGCCTCTGAAACATCGTCCTGATTTCATAAGCTGCAGGCAATTGAAGCATCGATGCCTCTCAGCAGTCTCCTTACTGCCACAATGAAGGCAGTGCAAAGGTCATAAACCCAAACAGTATCAGAGATACCCACATCATTTCAGAGGCAAGAATTAATCCCCCTCCTGCCCTTCTCACTCCGCTCCAAAACCAACCGCCTCCAAGCAAACTCCTCCTGAACTCAACACCAACACGCTCTGCATTTAGCACTGAACGGTCTGGATGGGAAAAGCACGCAAGCTCCTCAAGGCAGGCCAAAGATGCTGAATTTCACGCGTGCTGTTCAGAGGCAGAGTCAGCACGCCCTTCCTCCTGCTATGACTACATCCTGCGTAGGCGCTGCCGCACGCTGCTGCCTCCTCGCATTTCACCCGCTCCGGGGACTGAGCACGGCAAAGGTCGTCACTGCTACAAAAAACGGCCACATATCTGAGGCAGTCCCAGCTCCCCAGCAGAGATTCTGGAAGTCTCCTTCTGGCACGTGCCTTGTAGGTTCAGGGTTATGAACATTTTTTCCTACTGCAGAAGGAGGACAGCTAAGGGGAAAGAGAGAGAATGACCATCAGCATGCAGAAACAGGCTGCAGGCTGGAGCCCTCGTCTTCGTGCACCCGCTTGGTGGGTTTTTGTGGAGTGAGGAAGAACAGGACAGGAAAAGGCAGGGTTGCAGAGAAGTCGGAAAAACAAAACAGTTTTGTAGCTCATCATACATTAAATAAGCCTGAACTATTTTGCCACCCTCAGACTGAGTGGGAATATTTTTTTCTTTTTTGAGTGGTATTAAAAATAGTCATCACAGCTTACCAACGCCTAAACTCTACTGCCTTGGTTTTAAAAAAGTGTTGGCACAACTGATGATTCAGTCAACATGTTTCTGTCCTCTATACTTGACTTATTAATGAACAGTTGGACACTCAGTAATTACTCAGGTATTTAGGCTGAAACCTCATAAGAGCAAGAAAACATGATTTTGTAACATACAAAACTTGGATTTTGCTTTGCTGTAAAATGATAAATAGCACTGTATGGAATTGATACAGTTCAGGTATAGACATGTTGGTGTCCGCAAGGCTGTACAGTTCAATCTCATTCCAAATCTAAATAAAAATTTCTCAAGCTTTGGGTTTGTAAAGGCTACCTTTATACACTGCGGAGCTGGTTTTGGTAAGAGTACATTACCTTGCTGAAAAATCAACAGCTTACATTAGGATAGTGCATTTTACCATTTACTGTTTAAGGCTTTAAGTCACAGATTTTCCATGCAAAAAGCTCAGAGTTCTAAAACTCACTATCTACTTTTTTTTTCCATGCAAATCCAAGTATACATTGAAAATAGCAACCTAGAACTGTCCCAATAACAAAGCAAAGCTAATCTAATATAAATAATGTGGCTGTGTTTTAGAGAGGATATCAATTAACGTAAAACATTCAGTTTTACCAGCTATTAAAGTCAAGTTTTAAAGCCAGGCAAATCAAAAACACATCAGAAATCATTTGAAGCGTGAAGCACAATACCATTGTATTTGTTTGAAAACACGAGGCCATGACTTAACCAACAGCTTTTGGATGTTTTCACCTTTACTAGGCAATGCAGATAGAACATAGTGTTCCCAGCTCCTCTGAAGACAAATCCATACCTTTAACCCAGCTTATTTCACTTGCCTTTTAAAGGTATGAGGGTTGTTTTGTCTTTTTTTGTTGTTGTTGTATGTGTACATTACTAATGTGATTTGTAGTATAAGTACTTATACAATAGTGACTATTTGGAACAGTTTTGACAACGACTTTTGTAAGAAGTCTGGTCTGGATTACTGCTAACCACAAATTCTTTTAAAAAGAAGTTGTTCACAACATATATACTGTGAGATTATTCGCTAAAACCACTAACCGCCATTTCACCATCAGGTATGTATCCACCAGATGTAGGACCTTGCATTTGGCCTGGTAGAACTTCATGAGGTTGGTACGGGCCCACCTCTCCAGCCTGTCGAGGTCCCTCTGGATGGCATCCCTCCCTTCCAGCGTGTCGACGGCACCACACAGCTTGGTGTCGTCGGCAAACTTGCTGAGGGTGCACTCCATGCCACTGTCCACGTCACCGACAAAGATGTTGAAGAGGGCCGGGCCCAACACGGACCCCTGAGGGACGCCACTCGTGACCGGTCTCCACTTGGACATCGAGCCGTTGACCACTACTCTCTGAGTGCGGCCATTGAGCCAATTCCTTATCCACCGAGTGGTCCATCCATCAAACCCATGCCTCTCTAGTTTAGAGAGAAGAATGTCGTGCGGGACAGTGTCAAAAGCTTTGCAGAAGTCCAGGTAGATGACATCCGTTGGTTGACCCTTGTCCACCGATGTTGTCACCCCATCGTAAAAGGCCACCAAGTTGGTCAGGCACGATCTGCCTTTGGTGAAGCCATGTTGGCTGTCACCCACCACCTCCTTGCTCTCCATGTGCCTTAGCATGGTTCCCAGGAGAATCTGCTCCATGACCTTGCCAGGCACAGAGGTGAGGCTGACCGGCCTGTAGTTGCCCGGGTCCTCCTTGTTCCCCTTTTTAAAAATGGGGGTTACGTTCCTTCTCTTCCAGTCATCGGGGACCTCGCCAGACCGCCACGACTTCTCAAACAAGAAGCTCAACATGAGCTGGCAATGTGTGCTTGCAGCCCAGAAAGCCGAAAAGAAGTGTGGCCAGCAGATTGAGGGAGGTGATTCTGCCCCTCTACTCTGCTATCCTGAGACCCCACGTAGAGTACTGTGTTCAGCTCTGGCACACTCAACATAAGGACATAGATCTGTTGGAGTAGGCCCAGAGGAGGCCCTCAAATATGATCAAAGGGCTGGAGCACCTCTCCTATGACGTTGGAGTAGGCCCAGAGGAGGCCCTCAAAGATGATCAAAGGGCTGGAGCACCTCTCCTATGAAGAAAGGCTAAGAGAGTTGTGGTTGTTCAGCCTGGAGAAGAGAAGGCTCTGGGGAGACCTTCTAGCAGCCTTCCAGTACCTAAAGGGGCTACAAGAAAGCTGGAGAGGGGCTTTCTGCGAGGGCGTGTAGTGACAGGACAAGGGGCAATGGCTTTAAACTGAAAGAGGGGAGATTTAGATTACAGATAAGAAGAAATTCTTCACTATGAGGGTGGTGAAACACTAGAAGAATTTGCCCAGAGAAGTTGTGGCTGCCCCATCTCTGAAAGTGTTCAAGGCCACGTTGGATGAGGCTTTGAGCAACCTGATGCAGTGGAAGGTGTCCCTGCCCATGGGAAGGGGTTGGAACTAGATGATCTTTAAGGTCCCTTCCAACCTAAACTATTTCATTTTTCCATGCTGTAAGTAACAGGAACTACATGGAAGTAATTTTAGACTACATAGAAACACTACATTTTACTTCAGAGTATTCTTTACAGCATTAAACTCTATATAATCTTTAAATATTAATACTCAGTATTAACTGAATTTCTGTTTTAACAGCTCTATTTCCAACTCCAGTCTTCTCCAAGAAATCAAAATCCAAAGGGTTATTCTTAAAACTGTAAGTGTATTTCTAGTTACCTACCTGAAGCATAGCCTGGACCACGTCTGCTGTGTCCTCTGTTTCTGTAAGGTCGACTACCACGTCCAAGTCCTGGACCATCATCAGTCATGTACCCTTTTTCCTTATCCGTACGGTTTGGTGGTGGCCTAGAAGTAGCTCCAATCTGTCGAAGCTGCTCATCAATTTGCAGTCTTTCCAAACGCAGCTGGTCCACTTCCTACACAAACAAAAGCACAGCAAGTCACATGTAACCACTACTTAATCATCTGAATGTAGAGACATGCAGTTCTCAGAAAGAAAGAGCACTTATGTATCGCAACTAATAATCTATTTAATACTTAAATAGTAACTCAGCTTTGAGAATCATTCGTTTACCAAGACAACTTTCAAATGTTCAAATCTGTCTGTTACGAATACAATTTGCCCTGTTGCATAGTTGGCAAGTCTAGGTTTGTTTAAAATAGATATATCGAGAAAAAACACTCAGATCAACTGTTTTCAGGAGATATAATCAACTATACTTCAGTATTAAGTTTACAAGATCTTTACCCATAAGAAAGTTAAACAGTGTTTAAACAGAGAAATTAACATTCTTTTATTTTTGAACACAGTCATATCATCCATTTATTGCATTCCAACAATGACATAATTTAAACTTTTTAGATTCCAACACAGTCTTCTTACACTGTTGCACGTAACAAATATCAAAGTTATTAAATAGTTATGATGTAACAGTATTGTTTCACTAAAGGAGCTAGAGGTTACACTGCTGTTAAATTCTACTTAATTATAATGAATAATACCAGGGAAGTGAGGAAACATAAAAGCACAGAAAGCCAAGTGCTGTAACTCAGACATGGAAAGACAGCCAGCACACTGAATTCTTACCACACAACTACTAAAAGAAATAAACACAAACAATAATTATCTAAGTGACACATATTCAGAGAGTACTTTTGTCAGTCTGAGATGCTGTCTAGCTAACAAAAAATATTTATTTTTCAATCAGGGAGAAAGCTACTTATGAACGTTTCAGTGTGATATTGGAAAAGATCTCTGGAGATCACCTAGTCCAGCTAGGACTTTGACAAGATCCCTCAGCACTAAAGGATGAATCACATCACGTCTTGCTCACTTGCATATATTCTTCTTCCCCTCCCCGCCCACACTCCCTCCCCTAACTCCCCAAGAATCTATCCTCCAGTTGTTATACAGACTGATGAACACTGTTGTATGAGCCCTTCTGGTCAAAAAGGTCAGAAGGACAGTACTAAGAGAAAGTGACCCTAATTGACAATTAACTGAAGAATCCAAAAAGACTGCTGAGCTATTAAGCACTTTCCACTCACATGTCAGTACCCATTTAAGCACTGCCTCACATTCGAGCACCCATTTAAGGTGGCCAAAGAAGTTAAACCACAAGTATCATCTGAAATAACAGTGAGCAGGCCAGAAAGGAGTCTGATTTTTAGTACAGTTTTCATGTGGTCCTTCTCTACCTCTACTACCCGAGAGCTGCAAAGCTGCTGTATCTGTACCTGGGCTGCATCCAAAGAAGCATGGCCAAGCAGATCTAGGAAGCTGATTCTGCCCCTCTGCTCTGTTCTCTGGAGACCCCACCTGGAATACTGCACTCAGCTCTGGAGTTTCCAACACAAGAAGGACATGGAGCTGCTGGAGTGAGTCCAGAGGAGGGCCACATAGATGATCTGAGGGCTGGAGCACCTCTGCTATAAAGACAGGCTGAGAGAGTTGGGGCTGTTCAGCCTGGAGAAGAGAAGGCTCCGGGGTGATCTTATAGCAGCTTTCCAGTACCTAAAGGGGGCCTACTCTCCTAAGCTAGGAGAGGGAATTTTACAAGGGCGTGTAGTGATAGGACATGGGGCAATGGCTTTAAACTGAAAGAGGGGAGATCTAGATTAGATATAAGGAAGAAATTTTTTACATTGAGGGTGGTAAGGCAGTGGAACAGGTTGTCCAGAGAAGTTGTGGATGCCCCATCCCTGGAAGTGTTCAAGGCCAGGTTGGATGAGGCTTTGGGCAACCTGATGCAGTGGAGGGTGTCCCTGCCCATGGCAAAGGGGCTGGAACTAGATGATCTTGAGGTTCCTTCCAACCCAAACCATTCTGTAATTCTATGATCTCGGATTCAAAACACTGATGAATCCAAGTGCTCTACAAGCAGGATTAACAGGTACAGTTATTGAGTAGGTAAGGGAACAAAAGTTGTTTCTTCTTCTAACTCCTCCGATATCTGTACTGAGAAGGTTCTTTTAGCTACATACAGATGTTTTAGCGTCCTAGAAGATCCAATGATAGCTACTGCACAGACTGGATGTGTATGAAATTTTGAATGGTCTGGAGGTTTCAAAAGAGATGCAAGAATATATTTAATGAAATGAACTCAAAGCAGTCCCTACTGTTAGCATTTGGCCCTGCCATCAGACTGAGCACTTGGCCATATTAACAATAAGCAAAAGTAACTACGAGCAATAATGTGGGTTATTTTTTGCTCCCTGTACAAAAGACAACAAGCACTGCAGACTACTGGAGAAGTTATGGAGCCAAGAGGCAAACAAAACATATGAAGCTGAATTGCCTACAAACCATCCTCAAGTATGAAATGTCAATTAACTACAGAAAAAGAAGTTTAAGCTTTTGGCAGGAAATGCCCACTGCATGCAAGATCTCTGCAGAGAACGCTGTTTGCTTTGCAGTTGCACGAGACCGACTATTCCTTGTATATAAAGTTGTTACCACTTTTTGAGATAGATTTTTTCTTATTCCTTTTATTTTGCATTCAAAAAAACCCCCGTTTTTCACCCTATCCTTCAGATAAATTATTCTTTTAATACAACGTGGCTTTTACATGAAGCCTTTTTAGACTGAAAACATGCTGTAACACTAATTTTTCAACAGCCTTCGGGGCCCGAACCGGATTTTCATCATCATGTTGTTACTATCTCAAGAATTGGCAGAAAAATTTCAGTGGTAAAGCATCATCATTTTCCTCACCTTTAAATAGTTAAGATGATAATCCAAAAGAACAGTTGCATTAGTGATGCTATCCTTGGTTCCCACAAACACAAATGGTACCATTCCCTAAAACACAACAACAGTAGTCCTGTGGTTATTGATCAGGCATCAAAAACTGAAGAAAATCAATTACCGTAAAACTTGAAAACAATTTTTACAACATGGACAGGCATAAATTAAAAAAATAAGTAAGACATAGTATATTTGAGTTTTTACATTGACTATATCATGTAGACTTGTTTCCTTTATGCAAAAAGGTTTTTTTTTTGTAAGAAAACTCAGACTGTATGCATCACAGTGCCAACATTTATTTTTCTGAACAAGTTTTCCTCCCTTCAAAATTAACACCACCTTTGTTGATCACGTCTACTCTCTCACACCAGGTTCTTTTAGGCTACGCATCGGTACAGAAATCTTTCGTCTTTTAGAAACAGAGTTAGTACTTCAGCTAACAACTGATAACTTATATTTCTTTTACCTTTCAAGCATTTTGTTCAAGCAATTCAACAAATATCCGAAAAATGTAAAGCTGGAAATTGTAATTTCTGAAATTATGACACTTGGAGATAAAACATCTAAAGACTAACTTAAGCAGCCAAAGCAGGCTAAGAAATCTACCTAAAAAGGCCCCCTTGAGTGTTGACAACAACTAAAATTTAGCAGATACAAGGATGATTTCCACAACGAAACTCCTGACACTAAAATAGGCCTATGCAGCATTTCAGAGGTGTGACTGCAGCCCACACAGACCCAATGAGCTCACTTCAAACTTCTTGGCTCTTGTACCAGCTGCAGCCTCACCATGGCAGTATGAGCTTCACTGTGCACTGCAAAAGTCAACCCGAGAGTCTTACAAACACCCAGCTGCTGAAATCTATGCCACTGCAGACCCAGAGCTTGGCTACACCTATTGAATTAAATTTTGGGTTTTTATCTCATCATGCCCTCTAAAGACACCTTTAATTTTCACTGTACACACACCCTTTTACAGGACTGCATTCCAAAGGAGGGTTTCTTTTTGCAAAAGTGAAGTGATTTGACACACAAACATCTTAAGCAAAAAATAATATCTGCACAGTATGCTGAGGTTCCCTAAGAGTGGCAAGTCTATAATTCTGCTTTTTGAAGTTTTTCTTTTTTTTTCTTTTATAAGCAACTTTTGTTAGATCTTACACATTTGCATTAAGTAACAAAGAAAAAAGTTTTACACAATCCTCTAACCTTAAGAAACCTCAAGACTAACGCTAACTTTCATAAGCATTAGCAATCCTTTAGCCACAGGCATCACTGACTGAAATGTTTTATTATCTGGAGTATCTTAAGTTTCATAAATATTTAACATAAGTTGATAAAGAACAATGAAATTTCTACTAAACTGGCACTAACTACCTCATAGTATCGACTATTAAGAGATCACAAGAAAACTGACTTAAAAAGGCATTTAAGAAAACTGCTTGCTGGTGATTTTAGCAGTGGATTCTAGGTACAGCAATGGCAATTATTAAGAATACAAGCTGGTAACAATGTTAAGCAATTTTAGTCATACAAAAGCATCAAAGTACTTATTTATTGAACCTTATTCCTGTCTTCAAAGCACAAGTACCTTAGTTTCAGTGGTGAATACTGAGCAGACTTTCTGTGCAGAGGAAATTTAGAGATAAAAATAATACATGCTACTATAACAAAGAGTAACTATCTGATTTTAAAAAGATGAAAAGTCTGAAGATCCTGTTATAAAATTCTGGGAGTTATGAAATTGCACCTGAAATTTATGCGCAGTATTCTAATATCTCAGTCATAAGAAAAAGAACCCAATGCTGTAACAAAAAATTAAAACTAAACTACTGTTCTTTACAAAAAGAAGGGCTGTAATACCCAAGTTCACACATGGGAAGATTAAGCCACATTTATTTCCAATACGAAATACAAAAACTTACAAGAACTCATAGCTGCCAAGATGTGATCTCAGGTTTCTGTTACTGGTATGACACAACTAACACGGGAAGCAGTGTAAGCAATGCCAGTGCTAGCAATGTCCTTCACAGCTACAACAGAGAAGTATGAATGCAGAGCTTGGCAGGTAAAAAAACCTTTTGTCTTTAAAAGGTGCATTTCGGATTGAAGAATAACCTTTTTCAAGCCAGAAGAAAAAAAAACCACGACATACTAATTGCAGCCATGACTATTTGCTCTTTTATCCTTCTACTATTCTGATTGCAGACTCACTAAAAATATTGAAAGTTTTAGCCTGCAGCAATAATAGCACCCTCTTCCTTATTAAGCTATTCCATGAATTTTATGCTCCAAGAATTTATCATTAGAAACGAAATATGACATAGCAGTGAATCCTTTAAGTGTAGGATAGACACATCAGATAGAAGAAAAACTAGTAAAGTAGTAAAAAAAACTTAATTGCTTAGTCACCGTTTATAGAAAGATGGAAGCTGGATCGTTGAGTCTTCAGTAATGGTTTTACAGTAACAATACAAGATGAAATAACTACTCAAGCAAGAACATACGGGTTCCAGAAATGTATTCCATATCTTACTCAAAGTAGCAAAGACTTCTTACCTGGTACATATTTAGATTCCTAGGTAAATTAAAGACAGTTCAGTTTTCTTTAGGCACATTTCACATTTGAAATTGCAGGGAATCTGTTTGCATTGAGATGTTAAAGACTTTGTGCCTGAAGCTTTCCTTGCAAACGTGCAACCTCTCCCCTCCACACAGCCCCATATAAAGGCACCTCAAATTACAAAGTTTAAGAATTCATTAAGGCTCTTTACAAGGCTGAGAGCCTTCCTGTGCAAACCTGGAGTACCACATTGTTTGTGCTTGTTTTTTCTTTAGGTTACAATTTACAGGCTATTGTGAAGTTAGGTAATATTTTTTTAAGAAGACAGATAAGAAATAAGTAAAAAAATTTAAACCAGGTTAAACCTTAAGAGATCAAACTCAAAGCAAGTTAATGAATGAAAACATAAGTTTCACACACACTGATTTACAGCTTAGCAAGTGCAGGGAAACGGTGTCACTGCTTTTAACAAGAACAAAATGAAATCTCTAAGAAAGTGCATCACCAGAAAAATTCACAAAGCATTTCTCAAAACACGGGTAACAAGTCAAATTGATATAAAAGTGCCCCTCAGCATTGATAAGGAAATACAGATTTCATCAGAAAAAAAACACATTAATCAAAACTTTATCTTAACACTACAAAGACACAAGGAAGAACTTATTTTATCATTGGGTAGAATATAACCACCAATTAACACATAGAAATCACATTAACTGAAAACATACCTCTTCTTGGGGAATATTTTTATCGTTTTCAGCCTCAATTCTCACTCTTACAACACCAGATTTGTCCACTATCTCCTGAATCAGTTTTCCATTTTTTCCTATTACTTTTCCTATAGAAAGAACATACAGAACATTCCACTTTTAGGGTTTTCTTCCAAACCTGAGTGTATTAAGTGTATTACTGTACTCTAATTAAACAAGAGTATTTAGTACAGTGCAAGAACTTGTCAAAAATTACTTAATACTCCACAACAAAGATTTAGTTAATGAGCCATGAACTAAAACGTCTAAGTACATTTGGGGCATTAACCCTGGTAACGTTTCAAAGCAACTACTGCAGCATACAGAAAGAGAGGTACTTTCTTAGGCAAGTTTGTTACTGAGTAGAGTTTCCTTCTTTTTCAAAACTCTTATAAGAGAGCAAATAAAATTCAATCACAAATGCTCACATTTGTATAAAATTATTTGAAATTACACATCTTGATTACAGAAGTTAAACCAGTTAAAATAATGATGGCAGCTTATCATTTCTACTTATCACCACCAGAATCAGGAGGGAGTGGGGAAGGGAAAAATACTGTTTTTAAATGAGTTCCAGAGCTGAGGTGCCATTTGTAGGCACTTGTCCCATTGCAGAATTTCACACTGCTTGAACACCAGCTTTCATACACTGCTTGACAACCTATTCAAGTATTTGCTTTTAAAAGTACGTTATACTGTCTAGTGTCTTCCCTGTTCTTTTCTTATCTACTGAATTAAGCCATGTATTTTTAAGTTGCTTTGCAGCATTGAAAGCTCATTAAAAGATTCCCACACATACAAGGTCTGCACGCATTCTTGAGGACATTTTTTAGGGTGTTTGATAATGGAAATCTATTAGATTGTCTTTGGGACATTTCCTTGATCACTGAGTACCTTAACTAGGTGTTCAGCTCATCTCACAGTGCTGCTTCTAAACAAACTGTATTTCAGATGTAAATAGACAGGAAAAGAGACAAATACAAGACAAAGAAATTATTCAAAACATACTAGGAAAGTATGAGACTCTAGATTTGCTTATTGTATAGCTGAACTAACCTCTGGACATCTTTGGATGAAGTAATCTTTGGAGGAAGTAATTTAATTCTTTGGCTCAATTCAGAAGCTATTCTACTTCTTATCTAAACATCAGCACATGGGTTCTAGTTTAAGATATCCCTGAACTGCAAACCAGTAGGTAATTTCTTATAATGTACTGAAAGTAAATGTGTCCGTAAAAATTCTGCATGGAGCTGGAAAACAAAAAAAGCCCCAAACCCCAAAACTTTGTACCACCTAGAACCCTTTCATGATGAGAATTTCTTCAAACTTTTACCTTGCCACCCTTCTAAAAGTAAAAACTCAGCCCTCACAAAGTATTTTTCCTTACCATCACACAGTTAGCTTCCAGAATTGACATACCTACTAAATTTCTTGGGACTTGTATGACATCTTCAGCAAATTCAAGGTAACTTCTTGCCTTTTTCACTGCATCTTGATCCTGAAATAGATAGATGTATGAGAGAAATGAGATCCATTTTCTCAAGTTTTTAGTTGGTTGGGTTTTTTTGCAAGGCTAAAGGAGGGAACTTACCTCTCCATAAATATGGAATGTGCAAGTATCTTCATCAAGATCAATCGCAGTCACTCCAGGGACTTTTCTGGCTTGCTGAATATTAGCACCATGAGTGCCAATGGCCAAACCCATTAGGTCTTCACGTACAACAAACTGTTCATGAAATCGTGATGCAAGTTGTCTAGAACTCTGAATAACAACACAATGTTAGCTTGATTTTTAGTACACTGAAAAAAGAAATCACTATAAATTCAGAGTTGATTCTTTAATCAGGTACTTAGTCTACTTTTTATTTTAATCAATTCTTTAATGCACTTATTTTCACTTTAAAAACACTCAAGAGTCTTCACCAGAAGTCCTAAAATCACCTTTTAAATATTAACATAAGGCCAGCCTCCAGCTATGTTGACATCTCTATATTTTGAATTACCATGGAATATCTACAGCTATCAGGTGTGACTATGTAAGAAAGCATTTGTGTGGGTTAGTAAAATAGGAGCTGTGCTGTTTATTAACGATAACCCTACGATATCTGAGGAAAAAAACACACCCATTTCAACAGGTAGGGAGGAAAAATAGCAATAACTCAATTGCTGGACACAGAAACTATATAGAAAACAGAGTAACTATGGATATCTACTGCACTTAAAAAATAAAATGAAGAATCTGTGCCTATGCAAGACAACATAAAATTAACGCATAACTGCAATACATTGCTTGAATTCAGAGAACAAGCATGTTAAGAAATTCATCCAGGAATCACATTTCTACCAAGACAGAAGGGTCAAGCTAAGAACTGGAGACTATCACACACTATCAAGACAAAACCCCTTTCTTCTGCAGGGCAGTAACAATCACTAAAGACTATACTATTAAAACAGCTTCTAATCACATGATTGAGGCTCAGTTGCTCTCAAATTACACCACCTGGTTACTCTTTTGCAAGTCTCCTCACCTTTGCATGCAACTGCTAACACCACAAACCAATAACCAAACAATACCACACCACAATGAGGGTGGTGAGGCAATGGAACAGGTTGCCCAGAGAAGGTGTGGCTGCCCCATCCCTGGAAGTGTTCAAGGCCAGGTTGGATGAGGCTTTGAGCAACCTGGTGTAGTGGAGGGTGTCCCTGCCCATAGCAGGGGGTTGGAACCAGATGATCTTTAAGGTCCCTTCCAACCCAAACCATTCTATGATTCTAATACAAGATGGCTTACAGAATCTTAATGAGGATCTCCTATATTAAATAAGATACCAAGAAAGAAAAAGAAAAGCTAACAAAAAGTAACCAACTTTCGGATCTGGAAGAGGATTTTCAAAACAACTGAAAAAGTATTGTGAGAAACCCAGATAAAACTTGCAAAAGATATATAAAATAGGGAAAAATCACTGAACAAATTATAACTCTAATGACCACAGGAAACTACTTCCTAAAGCTGTTCAGAGCTTACAAAAGAACTATGTTAGCGAGCTCTGATTCGATGCAAAAGTATGCACATACATGCCCATATGTAAAATACAGTTTCAATATTTTCTTAATTGTATAAAGCTTCCACCACACAACAAACATGTAGAAGAGCTGGGAACAGAAGGATGCTTTTGAGAAATATCTTGTAGAACACTATGGAGTTGAATGGTGCTGAAAATACTCAAACATGCAGGAAACTCAGATTTCATCAACACTCATCCTGCATTGATATGAACAGCCTCTGTTAATCCCAGATGGCTCAGATTATTACCATTAATAGGCCTCAAGAGTGCAAGGAAAAACACTTGGGAAATGCTGAAGTGCATGCAGTTCAGAACCTGTCAAGTACGTGGGGAAATCGTTAAAGATAAGTGGACACATTCTGTTCAGAAACAAAACCACATGTTTAAGAAGACTAAAACAATGACTGATAAGTTTCTCCTACACAGCCTCTTCATAATTTCAAAAACCAGATAGTTTTCCTACAGGATGCTTGTGCTATATGAAGCAGGAAGATCACTAAGTTTGGCCACCCTGAGAACTAAAAGAAACATACAGAGAGAAATCTGTAAAATATAAACATACAGGACAAAATATATTTTATGATAACAAAATTGTCATATATTTAAAGGAAGTTACAGTACTTAAATCTACAGAGAAGAGCAAATATAAAAGTGTGTTAAAAGAGTTAAAGAGTTATTAGTTACCATAGCCAGTAAAATTCCTACATAAAAATGTGGACACTATCCACAAGCATCTGAGCATAACCGAACACAGAAAAGTAACAATAATTTAATGTATTGAGGGAAGACAGAGAATTTCCAACTGTGATGGTCTATTAAGTAAAATGGAAAGAGTAAAAAAGAAAGCTCTATGTTATCTTTCCAGAGCCAAGATATATAATACTATACATGCTTCTGCATCACAGTCAGAGCTGTAACTACTGTGAAGACGTGTAACAAGCACATTTGAATTAGAAGTGTAACCTGAGCAACACGAGACCTTAGAGGTGAGAAAACATCAAGAAAGTGCCCACAGTAAGTCCCTACTCAGTCCCAGCTAAACTGCTACTGTTACCTAACCTGGTCCTGCTCAAAGCTGTTGTGAAGACCCTGTGCTAAATCACTGTCACAAATTACTGGCTACAGTAGATAGTGATGTAAGTGTCCCAGTGTCATGAAATACTTCATATACTCAGAGTTCTGTTAAGCACTTTATTTCCTAGATTACAGACAACTCAGAAAGCAAACACTGTTTCAAATGCTCTCAGATCTACATTCTAACTGGAAATCCAAATGCCCATTTACTAGCTGACATCTGTTACAGATCACATGAGAGTAGAGAACAAGATGATCAACTCAATGATCAATTGTTAACACAACTATCTACAACATGTAGAAAAGGTGAAGCTACATCATTACTGGGGACCTTGGCTACAACAGTCAAACTGTAGTTACAATGCTTGTACTAATACCTGATTAGCTTTTCTGTAAATTATGCATTACATGATGTAATACATCATTTATTTAAACAGGAAATTCTGTATTCTACTTCCCTCCAATAAATTAGGAAGAAACAACTATGCAAATAATGCATTAATACCTACTTAGAGGTCGTGACTGAATTGCATTTAGGCAGAATAAAATAAAAAACAGAATGCAAAATATACTTGTAAGTTCAGGCTTTTTAGTATGTCAAAGTAACAACTAAGTCACATCTACTGGGAAAGAACACAAACAGAAAATAATTGGTTATTTGACCGGATGCTCTAAAAGCCACATTTGAGAAGCAGAGCCATGCAAGTCAAAAAGCTGATATGCAGAAAAGAAAAAAGGTTCAAGATGTAACAAATAGACAGAAACAAACAAACCTAAAATAAGCAGCTGGTCTAGTCATTATGGCTCAGCGGGAAAAGTAAAATACTAGAAGAAAAAAGGCGGCAGACATTTAAAGTTCAGAAAGTACAAGACACTGAAGAGAGCTGACTTGATGGAAGCAATGAACTACTACTACTAATGCAGTAAAGCCCAAAGCATCCACTAGCTATTTCTTCTGCAAATGGACACGTGCAGTCTGCTTGTATGTTAGTGTCTCAATAAAAGTCATACTTATGATTTATGTTACCTGAAGCTTTTCAGGTTTGGCTGAAATTGAGTTTATTTTAAGTACAGGAAACACAAATGCCAACGTGAGAAATACCAGACAACTTTCATCATGCAAATTATAAGCATATATATCTATCTCATAACCTTCACTTAAGTACTGCTCAGGTAAAAACTAAAGTCCAATAATGGTTTCCTGGAGAGATCCAAATTGAGTTCTCGAGACCTGCAGCAATAAGGTTCAGCCTTACAATGACAGCAAGAATCCAAGATTAGTTTGGGAAAGGAATCAATGACAACAGCTGTTGCTGCATGCATTTGTGGGGGCATGTAAAGAGAATTAGCTCTAGAGAGGCTGTTGTTCTTCCCAACTCCAAAATAATACTTTGCACTTCAAGAGGTAAACTGCCCACACAATTGTCAGTTTTGGAGGAAGACAGAGAAGAATGGATTACTGAAGAGCTACAGTGGGGGGGGGCTCAAGAAGGAATACCAATGAGAAGAAACTGGTCCTTTATTGGTCTTGAAAAATCAAGACCCCAAAAAAACTCGGATTACATCTCTGAAATATAGAAATCAAGAGACTAAAAAGAGAACAACGGAAGAGAAAACTTCTTGTAACAGTGAGTACATCTACTGGACACAAAAGGCCAGAGCTACATCCAGCTACACCACATCCCACTTCATGCTAAAACTCAATAGATGCAACCCTCAGGGTGAGCGGGAATGAAACCTGGCTCTGAAGTAACAGAGCTGGTGTACGCCCACGTAAAACTGAATTACAATAGTTCGAGTGGTACTTTAGCTCTTGACAGTGAATCTAAAAAGAAATTTTCAGAAATGTTGCTATTTTCTGATTTGTAGATAGGAGAAAAACCATGAAGAAATGTTAATTCTACTGAATAAAGATCCTCTTATTTCCTAGCCTACTCTTTCTTTTCTTTTCTTTTTTTCTTTCTTTTTTTTCTTTCCCATGGACAAGTATGAGTCAAACTTCTTGCCAGTCAACACCCACTCTCCAGTCACAGGAATATCAGAAGCTGTATCTGCTGTAAGATGATTTCCTAACATTTTATCTACAGACAAAGCCGTTCCTTCATACATCCTATCAACACCAGTCTCTCCCCTTCCATCTCTTGTTTTCACCGTGTGGTTTTGCAAGATCCAGTTCTAGCCCATCTCGGCATCATGCCATATTCACTCCCATCTATTTTTAAAAACAGTAATTCAAAGCTATTGAACATGTGGCACCATTTGTGCAACAATGGTTAATTATTTTATGCTTCAAAGTACAAAAAAATATATGTGTATGTGTGCTTACATATATATTTGTATTTAAACCCACACAAAAT